GTCCGTGTTGCTATGTGTTTGCAGCTATATGACTTTATTTCTGAAGACACTCCCTGCGCAGTGTCTTTCCACCCCACTCAGCAGGAGTTTGCCTGTGGGTTCAGATCTGGGCTGCTTCGAGTCTTTAACATCGGCACGTCCAGTCTCCTAGCAGAACACAAGTAAGCACAATGCCATGTTTTCCCACACACAAGCAGGTTATAATTCCTGGGTTCTTCCAGAGGTGCTTATTATTGCTGAGCCCTTGTGTTTGCTGTGTTATGAAGTGTATGAAGGATGTCTCCTGTTCACGGCGCAATGCTTGACCTTTTCCTACTTGTCAGCTAAGTAAAGATTCGTATTTTGAATTTTCTTACAGCTTGTGCCAGCTCATTTCCTTTTTGAACACTTGGAAAAACTTCCCTAGGTTTCAACCAAGGCTGATGTACATCGGAGCAAAAGAAAGTTTTCAAACAAGAGTAGGCTATCTGGTCCATATAGCCCACTTAGTTCCTAATTGATTCATCTAGTGGTTTGAAGGCTAGGATGTCAGTATTAATCACATAGCTTGTCAGCTTCTTCACGAGCCCCACAAGCCTTTGTGTAAAGCGCTTCTCCTGTCCTAAATAAAACTGGCTATTTCAGGCTTTGTTTTAAGAGCTGCAAGTGTGGCTTTCTTTCATTACATTTCTAATATTCTTTATTATGTAAACAGCTTGATTCTGTGATTTTCTTTTTTGAGTTCTAGCTCTTCTGAATTAATGTGATGTACTCATCAGGCGCAAAACTAGCTAGGGAAATAAGCAGCCTATTAACGTGCAGCAGTCTGTTGATTGAGTCACAGATGGCACAGTAATTGCAGGGAAACAAGTATAAAATTGTCTAGAACGCCAGTGGAAATTGTCATTGATAGATTAAATAAAGTAGGAAATCAGTGTGCTTGGTGATAAACAACAGTTTTATGTTTTTAGAATCTCTTTAAACTAACCTCCCCTGTTTAACAACACACCTAGGAGAGAAGCCTTGTAATCATAAAACTGGCCTTGCCTTACCTTTCAAAAGAAATTGTTGTCTGCGTCTGGCAGGTTTTCAGTCCTGTCTCTGTGTACGAGTAGGAATGTACACTGTGGGTGATTCTGTGGGATTACCCCGGTAAACAGAGCAGGGGCCGCTGGCTGGAGTCCAGGCTCACAGGTGTGTTATGTCTGTGTTCGCAGGCAGCACCGCGGGGAAGTGATCGGACTGGCCTTCTCTCCCGATGGGGAGTACATGTACAGCGCGGGCTCCCTGGGCTCCCTGGCGCTGTACAACTCAGCAGAAAAGGACCACCACGTTCTCAGAGTCTTGGGTACGACTTTGGTCCCAAGGAGTAAAGCAGGAAAACAGAAGATTGGAATAGCGCTGACTGTCCACCTTTCTAGAAATGAATTTCATTTTAGGAGATGTTACAGCAGCGCTTAAGTATTGGCCTGTCTTTGCGGAAAAGATTAACTAAATGTATCCTAAGCTCACCAAAAACTGCAAATAAATATCTTAAAACCTCTTATGCTTTTGAAAGGTAGCAGGCAGCTTTCTTTTATACTTGAGGCAACTTGGTGAGGAGTATAGCAAGAGCCCTACTGGATTCATAAGTACATGAGCCATAAATGTGGGCATGTACTGTACGAACATCGATCCCATGCTTATGTACCTTTGCTGTCAAGGTGTGGGCGCCAGGCAGTAGCCTTGGGTGCCCCTTGCCTGATGTATTACTTAGAACACGCGTGCTTGTGGATTTCTTTACATCTTCTTTTAATTACTGTGCGTAATAACATATCTTTTAAGGTTGGATTCATTTTGCTTTGCCTATGTGAAATCAGAAAGCTTACTGATGTGAGCATAGATATTAAACATATTCAAAGCTTAATATCAATATCATTTCTCTGCAAACTGCAAATTACAGTACCAGTACTCAAAAGCTTTTTATTCTCTGGAGATTTATTGCTTTTCCGCAGTAAATGACTCACCGTCAAGCATTAAGTAATTAAGGATTCCATTAATTAAACTTTTGATCCACCTGCTAGTATCTCAATTGCAAATCCTGTTAATATGCATACTCCAGTCTAAGCCTAAACCCTTCCTATGTGTGCAGTAGTGTTAAGTGTGGGTCATCTGTTGAGCCTTAGTTCTATGAACCCAGATTGGGGGGTATTGGCAGTGTCTGTTGGTCCTGGGCTGTGAAAGTCTATTTCAGCAGATGTTTGATTAGCTGTTGGTATTCCTCTGAAGGCAACGTTGTATCCCGGGGGAGCACGCGCTGCCCAGATGCCCTGGCGGTCAGCAGCGACAGCAGGAGTCTGGCGTTTGTGGGCCCGTCGGAACACACCGTGACAGTGATGGACGCCCGCTCCCTGGACGAGGTAGCGCGCGCTCCGCCTCGCCTGGCAGCGCGTGCTTCTGCTGCCGTTCCGATGCCTTGTTCTGCTCTGTCGGCAGGGCTGGGAAAATACGTCATACGCTGTCGCTGCCGCACTTCTGATCGTTTTGGCAACCGAGCGCTTCTCTTTAGTAAAAGCTCTGGGAAAAAAGATTCTCACAATACCTTATTACTGAGGTTGATACCAAGAACAGATGTGTTTACAAAACATTTAAGTGTACTTAATTGCTGTGAAATTGAAGAATCAAATATTTTTTACTTTGCATAATGTACAAATGATGCCTAAATGCTGCCTAACATCCCTTATGAATATTTTCCATGTAAAAATATGCATAGTAATTTTGCACAATCCTATAATTTTATAAAACTGATATGTTTCCTTGCCTTGCCATTGTCTCTTACAGTTTCTGCCTGTCTTTATCGTTCCTTTATCATTCCTCGCTGCTTGAGTCGCTGAGGAGGTTGAGCACGAGCAACCTTTCTTTTTATTTATGCTCCTTCTTCAGCTGATGCGCATCGACGTGAGCGTTCTGGATCTGGACAGCACCAGCCTGGACTCGGCCGTGAAGGTCTGCTTCCCCCCAGCCCCCACGGGACACCTGCTGGTCACCACATCGGCCAACAAGATCCTCTGGCTGAACGCTAAAACTGGACGCCTGCTCAGAGAGGTCAGCCTGAACGCTTGCTGTTCATTCATGTTTTTAAATTTTGTTTTTTTCTGTGAGTATATTTAAAAAACCTGAAAACGGTGTTCAACTAAGTTGAAACCAGTTTCTTAGTTCTAACTTAAATCGGAAGGTCGACATAACTAGGTTTAAAGTAGGCTAGTTAGATTAGGAGAACTTTCAAGAACAGCTACGGTCGAAATTCTAGGGTGAAATGGCCATAACAGAAGCTACCTTGTAGCCTTTCCTACTCGAGCTTGCTCTCCTTTCCTTCTGTTCACAGGTTTCAAACGTCCACAAGCATGTGTGTTCATCGCTGTCTGTGAGTGAGGATGGGCGGTTCTTGCTGACCGCTGGGCACAAGGCAGTCAAGGTGTGGGACTACAGAATGAAGCATGACACCAGCTATCAGGTAGGATCATTTTCTCATCTAGAAAATGGAGATGAGAGTTTTCTGTATATTTGTTCCTTGTATGCAATTTTAGGTTTTTTGTATTTTAAGTCGACTTTCATATGGGCATCACAAAAGTCTTTTAAGAAGTGCTTGTTCTTCAGATCGATACAAGTCAAATGTCCTTTTGAATGCATGAGTAGAATGTTTATCTGTACTGGCTTATGGTATATCAGGACTATCAGGAGTGGCTACCACTATTATACTATCAAGGGTGAGAGTCCCTGAGGGTGGACAGTGACTCTGTCCAGAAGAGCTGTTCCCCCTGTCTGAGTTCACATGAAGCATGCAGAAATGGTAGTGATTGGTGACATGTTGTTCTGTGTCCTGCTCCAGGTCTTCATTGGGCACTCCCAGCCCATCCAGCAGGTGGGCTTCACCCCAGACCAGTTGGGAGTGGTCAGTGTGGGAGATGCCATCTACTACTGGGATTTCCTGGCCTACCCGGAGGAAATGGAGGAGGACAAGAGGTTAGCATCCACCCTCAAAGATGTCATCAGCCGTGTTACCACTGTTCCCTTTACAACATGTAACATTTCCTTTCTTTCAGACAGTCTCCCACTACTGCCTCTCACTCACCTTTCAAACCAGGTAAGGCTTTGGTGAAGATAACTTTGCACTAAAATACACTAATAATGGTAAGAATTAGACTAATGTTTACTGTTTTCAAAATAATGACCATATCATTAAGAAAATTAGATATTTAAATAATGTGCATATGTTGACTAAAGATATTGCTGGGTGATTCTGTACAGAAGAGTTTGCACGCCAAAAAGTAAGCATTAGATGAAACCTAGGCTTTGATTTTAAGAGGATACATTTTTAGGA